CCCCTGTCCTAAGAAAAACCATCGGCCCTGTTACAAATTGTGTTTTTAGGCATAGCTCTCGTTTCAGTGGCCATGATGGCATCCCTGCCCGCAGACAAGCTGTCTCAGATTCGTGAGATTTCTCAGTCTCATAGCTCTGCATCAATTATTTCCCAACGTCAGTTGCTTCTTTGCTTGGTCACCTTATTTTGCTGTGCGCATCATGGTCGTTCCTTCATTTCCCGACTGCTTGACCTAGCTAACTCTGTTCCCTCTCTCTTAGATTAGGTTTCTCTGGACGAAGGTTGCCATTCCGATCCTTCCTTCTGGGCTAGACTTCTTGTAAATGGAAGGGCAAATTATTTTCGATGGCATCATTCAAACGCTGACACGCTCCAATTTTTCACGGATGCTGCCCCATCCGTAGGTTTTGGGGGGTTCTTTCAGGACAGGTGTTTGCTGGTTCATGGCTCCCTCTTTTACTAGTTCTCAGTCATTTGCGCTATGCGAGGTTTACCTTTAGCCGTAGCTTGCCGTCTGTGGGGCCCGCTTTGGAGGAGAATGCGCATATCCGCTTCTGCGACAACATGGCAGTCGTTGACGCCATCTCTAAGGTCGCTCCTCCTCTCAATCTCTCATGCCATTCATTAGAGGCATAACTTGGCAAGCAGTCTCTTACAACTCCATCATCTCTGCTCGACACGTTCCTGGTCTTTCTAACCATGCTGCTGATGCTCTTTCTCGTTTTAAATTTCAGACCTTCCACATCTTCGTCCTTCTGCCGATCTCCTTCCGACCCATCCTTAACTAACCCACTCTCTTCGTTCGTACTTACTTCCTCCAGTTTCTACATAAATCAGGTTTAGCTTCACTTCAACTAATAGTCGTTTCGATCCTTCCCGGCATTTGTCTCTTTCGGATCTTCGTTTCCACATCGATCTTACAAATATCTTGAATCATTCTAAAGGAAAGGCCGTTGTTTTTCCCTCATTTCAAGCCACTTCGTCACGCGCAAGGGTTCTCCCGCGTCACCATGCTGGTTCCAGACCATCTCAGAATAGAATCCTGTGGCTTTTCATCCAGTCATTATTCCAGCCACTCATTTAGGATAGGGGCAGCCACAAAACAGCTGCTCGTGGTGTTTCTGTGGCTTCTCTCCAGCAGTTGGGCCGATAGACTTTTTCAGCCTATAAATCCTATATCCGCCCTGAACACTCTTCAATCTTAGCAGCTCAACGCTCTCTCTGTCTGTAAGGTAAGCTAACTTCGAATACTGGTGGTGGTTTAAAATATATTCTCATCTTTGCTAAATCATTGCTCCCTGCCACGCACCCTGCTATGTTCCCTGTGTGTTCCCTGTCTCATTCCCTGCCTTGCATTCTGCCATGCTCCCTGGGTGTTTCCTGCTATGCTTCCCGCTATGCTCCCCGTGAGTCATGTTCCCTGCCATGCGCCCTGCCATGCTCCCCGTGTGATCCCTGCCACTTTACCTGCCTGCCATGCTCCCTGTGTGTTCCCTGCCATGCTCCCTGTGTGTTCCCTGCCATGCTCCCTGTGTGCTCCCTGCCATGCTCCCTGCCATGCTCCCTGTGTGCTCCCTGCCATGCTCCCTGTGTGCTCCCTGCCATGCTCCCCGTGTGCTCCCTGCCATGCTCCCCGTGTGCTCCCTGCCATGCTCCCTGTGTGCTCCCTGCCATGCTCCCTGTGTGCTCCCTGCCATGCTCCCTGTGTGCTCCCTGCCATGCTCCCTGTGTGCTCCCTGCCATGCTCCCTGCCATGCTCTCTGGCCTTGTTCCCTGCCATGCTCCCTGGCCTTGTTCCCTGCCATGCTCCCTGTGTGTTCCCTGCCATGCTCCCTGTGGTCCCCTGCCTTGTTCCCTGCCATGCTCCCTGTGGTCCCTGGCCTTGTTCCCTGCCATGCTCCCTGTGGTCCCTGGCCTCGTTCCCTGCCATGCTCCCTGGCCTTGTTCCCTGCCATGCTCCCTGTGTGTTCCCTGCCATGCTCCCCGTGTGTTCCCTGCCATGCTCCCCGTGGTCCCCGGCCTTGTTCCCTGCCATGCTCCCTGTGGTCCCCGGCCTTGCTGCCTGCCTGCTCCCTGTGTGTTTCCAACCTGCTTCCCCGCCACATCCCCTGTCGTTTCCTGCCTTGCTATCTGCTATGCTCCCTGCATGTTCCTATGCTTCCTGCAATGCTCCCTGCAATGTTTCTATGCTTCCTGCAATGCACCCTGCTAAGCATTCTGCAAAACTCCTTTATTTTCTCTCTGCCATGCTCACTGCTATGATCCCTGTCATGATTATTCATTTATCACGTGTATCAGCCTGTGCATAATGAAGTCCTTCTGTACTCATCCTTCTCCCTCCGCTTTCTGCATATGCTGGCGCTCAGGCCTGTACCTCGGCAATTTTTGGGGGGAATATCCTTATTCTCATACATCAGTTTATCTGCATTAAAGTATAAACCAGCGTTTATGTTTCCTGCCGAGGCCTGAGCGCCAAAGTTCAAACTATTGTATCAATAAACTCTTCTAATTGCATCTTTCTCTCTCTGTGAGTTTTTCAGATTGAAATGAAGCTAAGGCGGAAATTCAACTGAAGAAACTCTGATTACTTCCATTCAATCTGAGGCTGATCCGCCTCCGACGCAGCCAACCCGCTTCAAGCCACTTTCCTTGATGCCCAATCATCTTCCAGCACTCTACTTAAAGCCACTCCAAATCATCTCTAGGCCTGCTCTTCAACAAGCGCAAGATCCATCGCTCCTATGTCGGACTTTGATTCAGACAACCCACCTCCATCCCCTTCTCCACCATTGTAGTAAGCTCATCCGACTCCTCCTCGATGCTCCTTCAACCTCACCTCCAGTGTGTACTCCCTCCAGACTTTCATGGAGTTCCCTGTCACTTTAAACGGTCCGGCAGAAGACCGCCACGTTGAGCCTGGTTCTGCCAGAGATTTCTTCCCAAAGGGGAGTTTTTTCTCTCCACAGTCGCTTCATGCTTGCTCTTCATGGACAGTTTATGCAAACTTTGTTCATTCAGTGACATCTAACTCAAGCATCACCCTGTATACCAGCCTCTATGGATTAACCAAACTTCACCTATCTAAACTCCACCACCAGTTTCAGGCCCGGGGGGAATATCCTTATTCTCATACATCGGTTTATCTGCATTAAAGTATAAACCAGCGTTTATGTTTCCTGCCGAGGCCTGAGCGCCAAAGTTCAAACTATTGTATCAATAAACTCTTCTAATTGCATCTTTCTCTCTCTGTGAGTTTTTCAGATTGAAATGTATCCGGAGAAAAACATCCCATTTGGACAGGAGGGTTCCCCTTGAAAAAAATTATCAAATGCATTGAGAAACCAGCTGACAAGAATCAAGTTTGGACTTTTGGTAAGATATGTAGAGAGAAGCTCCAAAAGAAGTCAAGACACAGAGCTGATGGAGGGCAGACAAGAAAGGGTGCCAGAGACTGAGGAAAAGTGTCCTACTCCAACTAGAGCCAAATTATGTGTGATAATCACATTTATTTATCTTTTCTTACAGAAACTTGGCTGCAACAACGGATTATGTTAGCGTAAATCAGGCAACTTATTCCAGCCATTTAAATGTTCATATGCCCAGAAGGTTTGGGAGAGGAGGAGTACTAACACATTTTCAATCCGACTTATTAGTACAAAGTCATTTGATAGTTAAAACCCCTTACTTTTTTGTTGTAAAGAAGGAAAAATCTCTTCTGTTTGCAACTTTGCATCATCCACCAGGTCCTTACTCTATATTTTTAGATCAGTGTCCAGAGTTCCTATTTGATTATTGGTTAAATACTGACAGATCATTATAATGGTGGATTCTAATAATTATGCTGACTCTGGAGGTGATAGCTTAAGAGCAGCTTTTAATGCTGTCTTAGACAAACATGCTCAGCCAGACAAATTCTCATCTTCATACTTTGGGCATTGTGATGACATTGACTGAAGAAATAACAGTATTTCCCCAGAACCCTGTCCTTTCTCACCCCCGCAGCAATTAGCTTATCAGTATTTAACACTAAGTCAAATAGAAGGTCTGAAATCTTAAAATCTATGTCAACATATATACACCACTGTTAAACTGGATCATTGATCTGATCATTTTTGCATATCTTAGAGCTACAGTGTGTAATTTTCAGCGACATCTAACGTCCAGACTGCAGACCGCAGCAACATGAACATCTCCCCCCCACCGCTTCTCCCCCCCAACAGTACGGCGAGCGTTACGGGACAAAATGTCTTCCACGACGTCCGCATCACCTACCTTCTCAAGTGATGAGGTTTGTTTACATAGATAATTTTACAGATAGCATTTCATTAGTCTGTGTAGGGTATAGATTTCAGGTAGACTTAAACAACTTGCCGTAGTTACTTTCGAGCGTAATGGGCGATCTCGCAATCGCTAGTTTGTTGGCTCTGCGCTGCCGTAGCGCAAAGAAGTCTGCCTCCATGGCTGCGAGACCCGCTCCTATGTAATTATAAATAACGAATTCTAAGGCAACGCAAATATTAAGGTTAAGAGGCTGAGCTCATAGATGATGATAAATAACATAGTTATGTATAATATATTACATTTCTGACTGTATATCCCTGTAATTATTACACACTGTAGCTTTAAGTATTTAGCGAATAACTGGTTTAAATAAAGAATAATAATTGTCGCTCTATTTAATGTTTAGATCATGAAATATTTTTTTTTAGAACAAAATGAACAGAATTTATGTGAAAGAAAAATGAATGGTTAGAACCTTTGAAATTCCAGATCTAGAGACCTTAGATCAGTGGACTTTACAAGAAATTTCCTGGCTTGGATTTTAGAAGCTCTAACCTCCAAATACCAAAGGAAAACACCGTAACCAGTGATGGTTCAACATGGATTTTACTGGTCCGTCCTGTATTTCAATTTATTTAATTCTTTCTTTCTAAGAGCTAATATTAAAACGTAACAATGAGCACAAAGAAAAATTGAAGAGACTTTTCTTAATCCTTCTCTGAACATTTTAATACCATTAAACAATTTGTCATCATTATCATTATCAATAAACATGTCTGAAAATAACAGAGAGCATGGAAGGTAATTATTTGTAACTAACATGAAAACATCTAAATTTCTAGAAGTAATTACAATAAAGGCAAACATCCACCACAGAAAATAAAATGATAAAAAAATATCCAACTGTATAATGTAGACAGTAGAAAAAAGGTCTTTAACCTGCAAGTTTCTCATGTAAGGAGGTGAAGGAGTTTCTAGATGGACATTTTTATCACCAATCATATATGGACAGGGACAAAAAAATCGGCACTGGCATTTTGGACTAGACTGGCCACCACATTTTTTTTGGTATACTGAATGTGTATACCAACTGTGCAATAACTTGAGGCCAGGTTAATGGAAATTAGTGAGAGTGGACACTTAAAATACTTCCAAAATCTTAATTTAATAACACTGTAAAATGTAAACTCCACCACAGCACAGCAACAATTCTTAGATGAGAGAGAGAGAGAGAGAGAGAGAGAGAGAGAGAGAGAGAGAGAGAGAGAGAGAGAGAGAGAGAGAGAGAGAGAGAGAGAGAGAGAGAGAGAGAGAGAGAGAGAGAGAGAGAGAGAGAGAGAGAGAGAGAGAGAGAGATCACAGTGAACCACACAATTTACGCTACTCTTCTCATGCTCTTCTGTGCGCTGGTGCACATGCCTCCAATCAGACATCCCAGTAATAAATGAGCTTGTGTCAATAGTCTTTCCAAATGCAATACATACAAAACAAAATAAAGCATTATGTTTCTCACAATATGTGAGCCACCTCCTGTTTTGTGCATTTTTAGTGGTGAATACCTTTTGCACAACTGGATTTTTTTGTGCTTTGTTGTGGGTGGTGATTCAAAAAGTTTTGTAAAAGACAAGGATCAGGACGGGCAAAGGAATCTATTTCCTCCTGCTCTCATCTTTCTCGCCATGTCTCTCCTCAGCCGCACTGACATCATGTTCACTGCTTGGTTCGCCGTCGCCTCCACTACAACCGCAGACATCTGAAGTTCAAAAACCTCATTTCAGGGAGATGAGTTGAGATAATAAAAATAATAATAATCAATTGTGCCTTCATCAGTAGTGGATTAGAGATATACAGTGAAGTTCACATGAGGGCCAATTCTCTTATTGTACAATTTATTTATGATGCTTTATAATAATAAATAAGTGCCATAAAATATTTGCTTGCATGCTTGCATTAATTATCTGTGCCCATGTTTTTATAAACTAAATAATGCCCAAAATTTTTTTTGCTCATGTGCTCTATGCGCTCGCATTTTAATTGGTGCCCTATTGTGCCCCTGTATAGTACTGGGTCAGTTGACGCCCCTGGCTGCACCGTGCCCCATACATGCACATTCCATCATTCTTCACCCTCACTAGACATGAATACACTTTAGTATATTCTGCTGCAAGATGAGGTAACTGTAAAAAAGAAAACTGAAACTTATTGGCTTATTTTCTGACTGATCTAATCAGCTCTCTGATCAGCCAGTCGCCTGGAATGCTGGTTGATCAGAGCATCGCTTTGGACAGATACGCTGCACAGGTTTCACCAGCAATTACAGTAGTTCTAATCCGCACATGATGCATGAATTATTGTACTGCCGCTCGCTGCCACTAGCATTTAAAAAAACACCACCTCCCATAGTCTAAAATCCGGGATAATTTATCTGACTCCAGGCATCCTTGAACAACTATGGATATCAGGGAGACTCCAGGAACTTCCGGGAAACTTGGGATGTCTGCAACCACCACCACCATTAAATTTAACATCAGACACCGGAGCAGATGAAGGGCCCGCTGTTGGGAACATGTCAGTCAGTTTTACACATTTTGCAGTGTCCGTTTGAAGAACTCGTTTCTTTTTTCGTGCAGTTTCTCTGCGCCTCCCTTGTGTTTCTCATCCATTACTACTGTGAACACCACTGCACAAAGTTCCAATGGAGAGTGAATAATAATAATAATAATAATACATATTATTAATATACATGTCGGGTCTGCCGGCCCAAACAGCACGTCGGCCCACCGGGCAGATGCCTGGTATGCCCGATTACCAGTCCATGCCTGTACATGGAAAATGTCTCTAATGTTCATTCCTGTGACTTGAAGCATTAAATATCTCTTTTTAAGATAATCAATTTCATGTGTCATGAATGAAAAATGTTTCTCACATGAGTAGTCATGCGTTTAGTCAAGTTTTTTTTTTTTTTGTAAAATCTTTGCCAAAAATGGTACAGGAGAACGGCTTCTCACCGGTGTGAACTCTGACGTGTTTATCAAGATGAGGTTTCTGCTTGAACCTTTTTCCACAGGTCACACAAGAAAAACGTCTTTTATCTGAGTGAGTCGTCATGTGACAAGTCAAATGACCTTTTCTAGTAAAACTTTTGCCGCAAACTGTACAGGAGAAAGGCTTCTCATCTGTATGAATTCTGAGGTGTTTAGTAAGATCAGATTTACATGCAAAGCTTTTTCCACAGGACAGACATTTGAAAGGCTTCTCACCTGTGTGAGTTCTCATGTGGTCAGTCATACTACTTTTCACAGTAAACCTTTTGCTACAAATTGTGCAGGAAAAAGGCTTCTCACCTTTGTGAATTCGCATGTGTCTATCAAGGTTCGATTTCTGAGAGAAGCTTATTCCACAGGACCGGCATTTGAAAGGTTTTTGTCCTGTGTGAATTCTGATGTGTCTATCAAGAGTGACTTTATTGATGAAACTTTGTCCACAGGACAGACATTTAAAAGGTTTCTCATTTGAGTGAGTTCTGACGTGTACATCAAGATTACATCTCTGACTGAAGCTTTTCCCACATGTCATACAAGAAAAAGGTCTTTCATTTGAGTGAGTTGTCATATGACAAGTCAAATTACCTTTTTGAGTAAAACTTTTGCCACAAGTTGCACAGGAGAAAGGCTTCTCGCCTGTGTGAATTCTAAAGTGTTTCTTAAGGTCAGATTTAAAGGCGAAGCTTTTTCCACAAGACAGACATTCGAAAGGCTTTTCACCTGTGTGAGTTCTCATGTGGTCAATAAAACTACTTTTTCGTGTAAAACTTTTGCAACAAATGATACAGGAGAAAGGCTTCTCACCTTTGTGAATTTGGATGTGTAAATCAAGTTTAGATTTCTGAGAGAAACCTTTTCCACAGGACCCACATTTGAAAGGGTTCTGTCCTGTGTGAATTCTGATGTGTTGATTGAGATTAGATTTGTTAATAAAGCTTTTTCCACATGGCAGACATTCATAATTCTTCTGACCAGTGTGAGCTACTGCATGAACTATTAAATGTTCTTTTTTCAAAACATTTTCTCGACATGTCAAACATGGGAATGTTTTTTTTTCTGTATCTCCAGTTTCCTGCTTCAGAACAAGCTGCTCTCCATGCTCACTTATGGGGAGCTCCATGGTTTCCTCTTTTGTGCAGGGATGTTCTGGTTCTTTCTGCTCTTCTTTTATCTGCTGAGGTTCTGGTTCCTTGTGGTCCAAACTGGAATTCCTCTCCTGTTCACAGGGCTGCTGGTCAGATAAATCGTCTTGTTTTCCAGCATAGTCCTGTAGGCAGTCTGGGAAAAACAAACACAGCAGAAATAAATTTTATTGTATGCCTAAGAAAGGCAGATCCACTTAAAAGCACCAAATTATTTCCTCTGCAATTACAAATTTATTACACAATGTAGTGGCACAAACCCACAGTCCAAAGAAACAATTTCCTCTTGATGGAACTGCAACTATTACTTAGGGGAAATAATTTAAAATGCTATTAAGGACCCAATCAAAATAATTACAAAGCAACATTATGTGTTTCACAAAACACCACCTTAAGTTTGGTTTATGCTTGATGTGTCTGAGAGGTCAGAAATTACGTCATTTTGGGCTGCCATACCCCTCCGCACAGACCACCTAGGAAAATTTGTAACCATGTGGGCGGATCCACACGTAAAACACAACGAACAAGCAGCACGGGGTATCAATGGTGCAGACGCAGTGACGGGAGGCTAATTTTCCATGCAGAATATCTGTGCGGAATCGTAAGACTGAATCATGCTAAATCACTGCATGAAAAGTGGGATTTTCGTCAATATACGGCACTGTAGATTGTCGTGGAACTTCAGGTTAGCGGCAGTTTACGGCAATTTGCAGGCTTCGTTGAAAACTCCCGTAAATTGTCAGAAATTGACGTGGAATTTCTTAGGCAGTGTTCCCCCCATGCCTCCCCCCCATGGAATTCTAGGGGAGGCTTTAACATGTAAATGAACATGCTGTGAGCTATACAAATGCAAACCAGGGTTGCAGGGGGGGTTTTACCCCAAGTGACATCTTTCTGAGGAAGAAAATCTCTGATACAAAGAGATCAGGCTTAGTATAGCCTCTCACATTTTAGCTTGAATTGATTTATTTAATTAAAGTATAGAGACCAAAACAGATCTTTAGCCGACAGAGCAATACATTTAGAGCAGTAATTATTTTTAAAAAAATTTGCATTTAAGATAAAAAATAAAATGTTGTCTGTCAATATGCTCAATTCACAATTACTTAAGTGGAAAAGTTTCAAGAAATGAGTCTGAGATGATTCACTTTATAACATGGCGCATTATCCTGTTGGAAGTAGCCATCAGAAGATTGGTACACTGTGGTCATAAGGTCCGGCCAGGTCAAGATCCGCAATTGCAATTGCACCAAACAGGAAAAAGAACATCGACAAATTCCGGTTCGTCAAATTAAAATATAGCAGCAACAGATCGGTGACTAGAAATTATAGCACAATTCTTATATATATATATATAAAAAAAAAAAACTAACACCGTTTATTTAAATGATTGGATCCAAACTATTGGTTATTCACCAACGAGGAAGCAGATTTCTCATCTCCATCAAAATATTTATTTTATACCGAGGGACTTAAACTTTAATGAAATCCATTCAAAAGAAACTTCTTATTACAGGAATGAAAAGAGATGCTGAGTTTGGAAGTAGTGAACAAGTTCATTAAAAAAAAGCAGTTTTGAATTATCCTTATCCCCGTTACAAAAATCTACAAATATATATATATATATATTTGGGCAGAAACTGAACATATGCTGGATGATGGTGGGATTTTTTTAATATGTCATATTAAATTAAGCGTTCACAGGGTTCATACAGGAATGAGTGACTCTAATTTAATGCTATTTAAATGCTATTAGAAATGATTTTAATACCATCAACAAGAATCATGTACACAAGTTATTAGTGTACATGAAATATGAAGGAGCTGCAAGCAGAGTTCCATGACTCCTGTATGTATGTAAACACACACACACACACACACACACATATATACGTATATAAACTATATTGCCAAAAGTATTTGCTCACCCATCCAAATTATTGGAATCAGGTGTTCCAATCACTTCCATGGCCACAGGTGTATAAATTCAAGCACCTAGGCATGCAGACTGTTTTTACAAACATTTGTGAAAGAATGGGTCGCTCTCAGGAGCTCAGTGAATTCCAGCGTGGAACTGTGATAGGATGCCACCTGTGCAACAAATCCAGTCGTGAAATTTCCTCGCTCCTAAATATTCCACAGTCAACTGTCAGCTGTATTATAAGAAAATGGAAGTGTTTGGGAACGACAGCAACTCAGCCACGAAGTGGTAGGCCACGTAAACTGACGGAGCGGGGTCAGCGGATGCTGACGCGCATAGTGCGAAGAGGTCGCCAACTTTCTGCAGAGTCAATCACTACAGACCTCCAAACTTCATGTGGCCTTCAGATTAGCTCAAGAACAGTGCGCAGAGAGCTTCATGGAATGGGTTTCCATGGTCGAGCAGCTGCATCCAAGCCATACATCACCAAGTGCAATGCAAAGCGTCGGATGCGGTGGTGTAAAGCACGCCGCCACTGGACTCTAGAGCAGTGGAGACGCGTTCTCTGGAGTGACGAATCGCGCTTCTCCATCTGGCAATCTGATGGACGGGTCTGGGTTTGGCGGTTGCCAGGAGAACGGTACTTGTCTGACTGCATTGTGCCAAGTGTAAAGTTTGGTGGAGGGGGGATTATGGTGTGGGGTTGTTTTTCAGGAGCTGGGCTTGGCCCCTTAGTTCCAGTGAAAGGAACTCTGAATGCTTCAGCATCCCAAGACATTTTGGACAATTCCATGCTCCCAACTTTGTGGGAACAGTTTGGAGCTGGCCCCTTCCTCTTCCAACATGACTGTGCACCAGTGCACAAAGCAAGGTCCATAAAGACATGGATGACAGAGTCTGGTGTGGATGAACTTGACTGGCCTGCACAGAGTCCTGACCTCAACCCGATAGAACACCTTTGGGATGAATTAGAGCGGAGACTGAGAGCCAGGCCTTCTCGTCCAACATCAGTGTGCAACCTCACAAATGCGCTTCTGGAAGAATGGTCAAAAATTCCCATAAACACACTCCTAAACCTTGTGGACAGCCTTCCCAGAAGAGTTGAAGCTGTTCTAGCTGCAAAGGGTGGACCGACGTCATATTGAACCCTATGGATTAGGAACGGGAATGTCACTTAAGCTCATATGTGAGTCAAGGCAGGTGAGCAAATACTTTTGGCAATATAGTGTATATATCCTCTAGCTTTTTCTCCGCCTGGAGCGATATAATATATCTGACGAAATTGTTTTTATAAGCATTTTTTATTAAAGAATTATAAATACTTCGATAAACATATTTAAATAATTTTAGTGCCAATTAAAGCCTTGATTTAAAAAAAAAAAAAAAAAAAAGAATGATTTTTTAATTATTTTTATTGATCCGCGGAAACTCTGGTTCATCTCGTGCATGCTCTGTACGATCTCCAAGAAACTTAGAGCGGCGGGGTCTGGATCCATAGTGGAGGATGCTGCTTTGCTTTGTGCAGGCGGTCTGGAGCGTCTGGATTTCGGGGTAAAACTCCTCTTGGACGCGATGGCGACTCTGCATCGAACAAGACGAACTCAAAGAAGAGATGCTAGCGGTAAATATATGTTCGATTACTGCCTGCTAAGCTAAAAGCAGCCTAGCCTAAGCTACCGGCTAATAGCAGCCTAGCTATTAGCCTATCTAGCCTAGCCTTGCAAGAACAAGCTTTATTAAAGTGTATTTTTTGTGATTACAGGAAGCAGTATGCCGTCTTAACAACTCGGAGACTAATTGCAGGCGCTATGAACCGGAGCAAGGGTAAGATTTAAAGAATATGCTTTCATTCTGCGGTAAAAGGCAATGGATACGGATAGACACCGATCATAGCTTTTACATTTTGTTTTCACAGACTACTGTCGCCTCACAATGAGGCGGTGACCTCCTATTTGCTCGGAGCCATAATCAGCAAGTCCAGATTTGCACGATGTTGATAAAGACGACATTGTGTGTAAGTGACTTGTTTTAATGTTTTCTCCTTCCTTGTTACTGTGACTTGCGTTTGATTTTTTATTTATACCACTCTCATTTAATTGTTTTCCAGCTGCCTGTAAGACGTATTTTCAGACGGTACGCAGGAGCTTCAGATATAGGCTGCCAGCCACACGCTGCGTGCGGAGGCTATCTGCTCGGAGTCGGGCCAGAAGAAAGAGGGTAAGACTTTATTTGGTGACTATTTTTCAGGTGCATTGATAGATGTGTTGTGTCCATACGCAGTGCGCTGATTCATTTTTTTTTCCAGCTGCTGAAAGCGAGGCAGAGTGTGCTAACAGATGAGGAAGTGGAACTCTGGAAGTCCGCCTTCCTCGGCGGTGTCTCTGGATGGATTGTACGGTCGCCGCCATTTCGTAGGCCGGATCTCACTGAACTCTGTGTTAAGCTGCAGTCCCGGTTAGAAGCGATGCCGAAGAACAGGGCCACGCACAGTAGGCGTCTGCACATCGGACCTGCCTCGGAGGGAATGCTGCCAGTTACCTCCAACCCCGAGGAAGCAAACGGACCGTTCACTGACTTTTAATTTTTAGAAACGCATGTGTTTGGATACGCGTTGTATATAGTTGTGTGTGTTTTAATAAAGCTCTTTCTTTGCATAAACAGCTTCCTGCAAATGTTCATTTCCTGTATAAATTCATTCATGTCCTTGATGGTAGCCTAATAATTGTGTAGTAGTGTAGGATAACATAAATACACACCATATGAATGAATAAATATATGAATGAATAAATATATGAATGACTAAATAAATATATATATATATATATATATGAATAAATATATATATGTAAATATATATATATGCCAACCAATCACGAGCGACTTTACTTGTTTAAAAAGAAGTGGTTCCGTCCAATACTCAGTAAGAAAATTAAAGCCTGGCGTGGCCACGTGTGGTTTTGCTGCCAATCACGAGCGATTTCATTTGTTAGAGAATAGTGGTTTCAGCCAATACTGAGTAGGTTATTCAAGCCAGACCTGGCCAGCCGCGCGGGTTTGCTGCATTCATATGCTAATTAGGGCCATTAGTACAGCTGATCGCTCTCCACATACGTCACGGTACGTTTTCGACAATTTGTTGCACGACAAACGCGGACAAGCACGGGTTGCAAATTGTCGGAAACTGACGAAAATCAGGCAGATCTGCGGGAGTTTAC